CACACACACACACACACACACACACACACACACACACACACACACACACACACACACAGAGATACTGACCAGCTCGGTCTCATAGTAATTTCCCCAGTGCTGTCTGTGGACTTTCTTTGTTATCTGGAAGGCAGACAGACGGTTAAGAGCTGCAGACATACTCATCTGTCTCACTCACACACACACACACGAATGTTAATGACACACACAGGGATGTAAAAACTCATTCACAAAGAGACAACATTACATTTCCATTCTTTTTATAATAATAATTTTAAAACAATTATAAAATATTTTTGCATATATTATTTGTTATCATTAAACTGCATAATATATTTTTGTATTATTTCAGACATCTAGATATTTTGGCCTTTAAAAGGATCCTTGGCTGAACAATAATTGAATTTTCATTTTCAGTTTGATGCTCTTTGAAGTGGTTTTAAAGCTTTTATGAAGAATTTTTACAGCCCTAGTAAAGACACTTGAGATGAAACACAAACACACTCAGATCCTGACAATCTTCTTCAGATTTCCTATTTCTGCAGAATATTATACACATATTACACATGCAAATGCATCATGATCAGAGTGATGCTGAAAGTTGTACGGCACAAAGCTGGCAGCCGTATTCAGCACTAACATGATGCTGGTGTGTGTGTCTGTGTGTGTGTGTGTGTGTTAATAGACTGGCTCTGGATCAGCCGCACGCGACCAGCAGTCTGTTCACTCTGATCTCGCTTCCGCTGATGTTGACGACTGTCACCATGGCAACAGCGGCACCCGACAACAGTCTCAGCATCATCCAGCTCTTTGTGTTGCCAGGGATTACAGGGCACGTCTTTCAGAAAATTAGCTTAGATTATGCTTTTCTGCATGTTGTGCTTTTCATTAGGAACGAACACAGACAGACGCATCTACAATAACCGCACTCGCAAATCTGTTTTAGGTCCGGTTTGAGCAGCTGTACCTGGTTCAGGTAATGATACTCCTCTGGTTTGAGGAGATGAAACGCTTTTCTTTCTTCTTCACTCGCTCCGGCCAGCAAGTAGTAAAACACATGATAGTTCCTGTGAGAGAGAGAATATTATACAGTATAAATGATATGAACACTGACCAGTGGTCTAAATAATAACAACAAACACATAATTTTAGGTAGAAATACATAATATCATGTGACGTACCTCTCATTGTGCTCCTGATAAACTAGTCGGGATTTTTCCAGAAGATACTTCTCCACATAAGCTCTGAAATCAATAATCAAAGGGGAAAAAAAAGTATATATATATATCATTCTGGCGTAATAATCAAGGAACTTTGCTGCCATACCTGAAAATAGTCCCCAGCTGTGCAAGCAGGTGGTCACGTTGGTTATGTTGACGGAAGTTAGCCTATTTTCAGATGCTGCGTAATAACATTGCGCCTGCTGCACACATGGTACGGCAGCAAAGTTCCTTGATTATTACGCCGGAATGAGAGTATAGTTCCTAGCCATATCGGCCTAGAAAATCACAACTTTTCATTTTCCGTCGGTCTTAGTACACGACGTAACTACAGAAGAGTCAAGTTTTAAATAGGAAAAATATTGAAACTCTTTGGTCATTTTTGAGCGAGATGCTAACGGTCTAATCAGATTCAATGATCTATGCTAAGCTACAGCTAAAAGTGCTACCGCCAGAACCGGAGATCGGCTGAATGGATTCGAAAACGGTAAAACTCAACTGTTTAACTCTAGGGGAGTTGGAAAAAATGAGCCTATTTTCAAAAATAGTGGTGTGTTCCTTTAATTAAATCAGATTTTGCGATTTCACAATAGCACTAAGCCACATTGCTATTCGGATCTTATTTTAATTTATTTTTCAGCCCTTTTATTAAGGTATCATGGGATACGTCCAAGGCTGTTCCAAAAGGTATGTAACGTCTTATAAGATGATAATATTCAGAATTAAATTCATTCACTACTAAAAAGTATCAATAAAAGTAAGTTTACCCTCACCCTCTCACAGTCCCGCTCTCCTGATAGTTGACTTGAATAAACTTGCCAAAGCGGCTGGAATTATTGTTATGGGCCGTTTTGGCATTTCCAAAAGCCTGAAAAAGGAAAGACAAAGAAACACAAACACATTAAAGCGACAAAACCTTAACTATAGTGGAGAAAAACAACACGTACATATTTTTCAGATCAGCATCTGGAAGCATATAGATCATATGTACAGATGGTTTATGCCTCATAAATTCAGACCAGAATGTGACGACAGACTAGCAGACACATTTAGTCACACATCTCTCTGAGTCTAATGGCCGATTCCTTTAAGAAAGACAGCCCAGGTGAATAGGGTAAAAAAAAAAACATTAAGAAATGCAAAAAAAAATTTCTGAAATGTTGTTAAATACGTAATACGTAAATGAGGCATTATCTAATTAAATATGCAGTAATTCGCAAATATTTCCAGAGCAGAAATCTGAACATTGGATGAATCCAGGTTCTAAATATTTGTTTGATTTTGTTGACATGTCAGAATTAAAGGTTTTTACAGAGGGGATTTTAAATGTATCTTTTTATCACTGCATTAATCAGAAAAAAATGTCAACTGACAGAAAAAAACACATTTTCACCATTTTTTTTAGGAATAAAATGTTGTATAGGTGAATGATATATGAACAAACCCCTCAGTAAAAACTTTCAGAATATAGATAGCAATAAAACTCTAAGTTTTGGTGAGTGTAAGTGCTGCTGAAGTAGAGAAACAACTTAATTTTGAGAAAAAGGCCTTTAAAAATATGTATTGTAACTGAAATCTACAGACGCAAATAGATAAAGTGCAATAAAATAAAAATCAGTGTGAATGATAACAAACCCTTCAGTAAAATCCTTCAGAATATAGATAGGAATAAAACTCTACGTTTTGATGTATGTAAGTGCTGCTGAAGTGGAGAAACAAACTCACTTTGAGAAAAAGGCCTTTGAAAATATGTATTTTAACTGAAATCTACAGACGCAAATAAATAAGGTGAAAAAAAAGCAAATGATATATGAACAAACCCTTCAGTAAAAACCTTCAGAATATAGATAGCAATAAAACTCTAAGTTTTGGTGTATGTAAGTGCTGCTGAAGTGGAGAAACAAACTAATTTTTAAGAAAATGGTCTTTAAAGATATGCACTGGAATTGAAATCTACAGACGCAAATATGCAATAAAAGTGCAATAAAAGAAATGCTTAAAAGTGTATTTTGGATGTTTTCTTTACACTAGTCTGAAAAAACACTTTATGAAAAGCCAAAAAGCTTAAACTTTCAAAACTGCCCAGTGCATGAAAAAACAATGTTTTTGTCTGTAGTGTCTCACATTAAAGCCGCAAATGCCTGAAACTCTCAGATACGTTCAGAAGAGTAAATCCTTCTCCAGACTCCTCGAGTCTCCCCTTTCAGACTGACCCAGCGAGACCCATTTCAATTAAAACTTTATGATGTGGAACCACGAGTCCCTGCCGCTGCTTTCACAGCAGCTCATGCAGAAACACATCACGCTCACAGGCCTTCACTTCATTTTCTCCACAGGGTTCCTTCATGTGCTCAGAGTCTGTAGAGTTTATACATGGAACCAAGTGGAGAGTTTATCATGACTTTTAGATCAAAGTAAAAAATATAAACTTCAATATGACTTGGTTTTAAAAAATATCATGTTAATATAAACATGCATATTACTTTAAACATTTACTAGATCAATTTAAATGTAACATGACTTTACACAGGTCTAAATAAAAGTCTCACTGGATGAAACGCCTCATTTGAAAGCTATAAGTCTAAAGCTGGCTCGGGACGGGCCACACGCAGGGCTGCTGACGGCCGAGGAGGTGAAGTTTAAAATAAACACAGCCTGCACCACATGAAGTCGAGGGCCGAATACGTGAGACAGGAGGCTTGAGGTTTGATTAATGACAAGAAACGTGTGAACATGATGAAGTGAACATAAACAGGGCTGGACTCTCCGCTGGGAGGCGTCAGGAGATCTGGAGGTATGTTCAGACCACCCCGATAACACAGTACTGAACCCGACTCAAACCGGCCTGCAATTCAAAGCTCGACTGGAAAAGCAGCCCAAGGAAAAACACACTTTACCGTGTCATTTTTGGACAATGGTACAGCATGGTTTACTTTGAAGTACCATAGCATACCATTTAGATAGCATGGTGCATGAAAACAGCTATGCGTGCTATTTTTTAAATTATAAACTAAAATTATATTTAAAATATAAATATTTCAATATACAATATACAATCCAAGTAATATTTTAAATACAGTTAAAAAGTTACATTATATATATATACATACATACATATATATACTTTTAAAAAAACAGACCGTGAGCGTATAATGCAGGGCTCTACGCTTACTTGTGCTCCTGGTTTAAAAAATGTAGGAGCACAGCCAAAAAAATTCAGGAGCACCTTTTGATCAATAACAAAAAATTAGCCTTCCCATTACGAGGTGATATTTGACTTCTTAAAGTGATTTACGAGAGCATTTTTTTTTACCTTTGTAATGGCATTTTTCAAACTTTATTAAAAGTATGACAGCTTTTATGTCAAATTCAAAAATTAATGTTTATAAGCTTTTTCAAAATTTCTAATTAAAACAATAGAATAAGAATAATAAGTTACCGATCAAATTAAATCAGTATTAACAAATTTCATTTGCACTACAGAGGTGCACAGACGAACACAAAAGCGGCATGTAGGCATATTTACAGACATTTAATGAGGTTCAGATGTGGCATGAGTGCAATTAAATTCATACATTATTAGATTAAATTGCTGAGATTAAAGTTTTAAACATAAAATGTTAAATATAGAAATATGAAATTATTTAAATAACTGAAACTAAAAATTAAACTAAAACTGCCAGTAGGTGGCGGTAAGTAACTGATTTTATTACGGAATCATTAATTCAATCGATTCGTTCGAACGGCTGATTCATTCAGGAACTGTCTTTATGAATGGGTGACTGAATCATTGACTCACTAGATTCGTTTAAAAACGCACGTTCATTCATAAACGAAACAGCGCTGTGTTTGCTTGGACTTTGTTTGAAACTATTTTCGTTGACGAAATAGAGCAAAATCAGGCAATAGTGTCGTAATCAGTCAATGCAAATCACTTAATATTAACTTCTTGTTTATTGAACTGTTAAATCAATATCACATGTGCAAACTCCCTTCATAATCATTAAATCTGTCACTCATCACGATCTCACAAAGTTCCATTATAATCAACGCAGCTGCGCAATGAATCTCTTATTTACATAGTTTGTTCATCATTCGTTTGTTATAATGATTGGATTCGTGAGCTCGCAGAACTCAGCACTGAACAAAACTCCGGTGTTTGAGCGGTGAGTGGATTCTGATTCACATTTTGTTCAAGGAATCAACAGATATGTCTGTGATGCATCACTCAACGCTGCAAAAACACGTTGTAAAGAGAAACCTTTGATGCAACCTTTGAAGCTCTGGGTGTGTGTTCTCTGATATGTGTGCGCACTTGAATGGGTACAAATTCCGAGTATGGGTCACCATACTTGGCCACACGTCCCTTCACTTTTTCACTTTCAAATATGCAGATCGGGTCAGTCGCACTGCTGCTCCTAAATATTTTTTCATAGTCGCAGGCAGTAGTTTTCAGTCCCAGAGCCCTGTAATGTGCTTGAATGATTCTCTGTCTCGTCTCCCGTGTGGTCTGACAGTTTATTCCCTATGCATTTGCTCCGTAATGGAGGTTCTCTGTGGTTTCTGTCAAGCCGTTTCCACACTGTCACTTTCTGTTAACCAACAAGAAAAGCACAACTTCACACCCCCGCTGCTAGACAGGAGGATCTGCTTCCACTGGTTTAGAGAGGACGGACGCTGAAGGGTTAATTACACTGTCACCGCTTCAGACTAAAGGGTCATGACATTTGTCCACATCTCTCTTCTCTCGAGGCACTTTATTAGCCACACACTTTCCATCTTTCCCTTTGTAATCTCATATACATATATATACACACTACATATATATTTAATATATATATATATTTAAAAAATCAAACTAAAATAAATATTTAAATAATATTTATAAATACATATTTAAAAATATATTTAAAGATAACTTACAAAATATTTAAATAATATTAATATTATTATAAATATCCTATTATAAATATATTTAAAAATCTAAATAAAATAAAATAAAACATTAAAATAATATTTACAATTATTCAAAATATCCAATAAAATACAAACCACTTCCCATATTTTAAAAATATTAAATATATTGAAAAATAACTTCAAAACATTTAAATAATATTTAGAATTATTCAAAATATCAATTAAAATAAATATCACGTCTCATATTTTAAAAACATAATATATTTAAAAACAACTTTAAAACATGTAAATGCTATTTAAAATTATTCAAAATACACACATAAATTAAAAATATTAAAAATATCACGTTTCATTTTTCCCTCTGTAATCCCA